TTTTTGGCTCAACACCTTTCATGCCCATTAAAGAACTCATTTCTGTGCGGATTTTTCTGAAAAACGTTGATTAAAGGCACACAAAAAATGTAAATTTTCAGTTACCACGGACTCTTAAGCTAAGGAAATAACTAATCTTTGGCGGCTATTTTCTCACTAATTTTACCTCTGAAAAAGGTGATTCCCACCTCCTTCTTCCGCAAATGTCTCGACTTGTATTCAAGATAAATGGATATTTTATTCATCCAAATAAAGACAAGTGGACAAGCTTTAAGATAATACCAATAACTCTACATGCCCAAAGATTGACGAGAGTCTGATTCCACCACGCTGCCTCACATATTATTAGCACACATCATGACACAATACAAAAATAAAGCCGAATAAACAAAGACATTTACCTACAGTAAAAAAATTGTTCTTTACTATACCGACGCACCGAGTCCCCTCATCGATGTGAGGTCTCCATTCTGGTCCGACTGTTTTCCTCTGCTGCCAACTCTTAGGATTCATTCCAGCCTGCGTCCTCTCGCTTCAACCGGATCCAGTGACTGGCTTTCTCTACTCTCCCCTGAAGAGAGTTTGTGAGTTCGTTGCTTTTCTTTGCAGTAAGTCCTGCCACTCTCATCCTCTTACGGGCGCTAGTTGCTACGAAACCTCTGCATCCTCCTCATATTGTTCAACAAGTGCCTCGTAACGGTTTTCTTTCCGCTCATAAGTTGGTTGAATCTACAACAGTTCACAGCACGATTCGCTTCTGGTCAGTATTTGGATTTAAAAATGTTGAAAATATGTCAAAAAGAATGTCTCCTCTGTCTGAATTTCGTTTGGGCGGTAACTTTTTTGTGCTGGTGGTAAATTGCTTGGCGTATTCTTGTATATGTCATTGGGGAACAACGGAGTTTGATTACATGCACTTACATGCTCTCGATAAAAACTTTGGCTAGTCGATCGTCTGGATCATTCAGAGATCGTTTCTTACAGTGTTATTTCATTTCTCTCTTGGCTATCTGCTCCTGCTCTGGTTTCTCGTGGTTTGTGATTCAAGTGTACTGACTCTAACATTGTTATTTCTGTATCCGTAGAGCATGTTGCTTTGCATAAATCTCTTGAAATATTTGTCCATTGTTTCTGACTGAGTTGAATATTTTTTCGCCTGTGAATAACAAACATGGCACGCGTCAACTCCCTTTTGATTGATGTGTGTGTGTGTGTGTGTGTGTGTGTGTGTGTGTGTGTGTGTGTGTGTGTGTGTGTGTGTGTGTGTGTGTGTATGTGTTAATGCGTTTGATGTTGTCTGTAAGTGTGAGTATGATATGTATGTTTGAATATGTGTGTGCGTGTTTTTTGAAGGGGTATAGGAACTCGCAAAACGAAAAGTACACTTTAAAACAGAAACAACTCCACCAATGACACATTTGGCTGCATACATGTATCGAAACTGTGAGCTCATGTCTTAGTGGAGAGTTTTAAAACAAGAAACACGAACATACTTGAGTTATGTCTTCCTACAATTAAAACAAAAGGATTCATGCTCCCTGACATAATTTGAAAAGTTGAGGGAGAGATGGGAGTAAAACAGGGAAAATGAGAAAGGGAAAATAAAGAGGGAAAAAGAGGGGGAAAAAAGAAGGGGCGAGGAGGCAACTGAACACTGACATCAGGAACATATTACAATTCTCATATATATATATATATATATATGTGTGTGTGTATACATATATATATTAGATATAATAATATACATATAATATACATTATGTATACATTATTTTTATATATTATATTCATATGAAAAAATAAACCCAAATCGCACAATTAGTAATAGAAAAGAACATAATTTCTGCCTTCCGTTTGCTGTTCTGTCTTTTTTGTCGTTCTACGCCAGTCTCTTTTACTCCAGGGTCTGAATAGCACACCATCCACCCCCAAACACACACACACACACACACACACACACACACACACACACACACACACACGAGCGCGCGCACACACACACATATATATTTTCTGTTGTCAGTGCAAAATAACTTCCAAACTTTTGATGTATAGTAAAAGGCTATCTCGTACAAAAACAAAGAGTAAACATCTTACCGTCGGTTTTTCCTTTACGAACAACTTGACAAGATTCAGTATCAGGTATCCTTGTGGTGCGCCACAGAGCTAGTGAAAGGACATCTAACTACAGTGTCTAAAAGACAGGGGCTCATTGGTCAATTGGTCAGTGCAGAGACGGACAAACAAGGACATTACGTAATAAGCACGTCACATCCGAGGCTGTTGGCCCAGTAGGAAACCAACAAATCATGATGTCGTAATGTTATCTTCCACCTCCCCCTCCCCTCCCTCTTATTATAGTCACCCTTGCCTTCACCGGTGAATGTCGTCACAAGTATTTGCAAGGTAAGTTACGGCCGTAGTGCGCCAGGTTTTCTGCTACAGGTTAACCTGCAGATGCCCGCTTTGAGAAGTGTCTTTTGTTTAGTTCAAGACCGTCCGAAGTTAAGGGGGGGGGGGGGTTACACCTGAAAGCTATCTCGCTTATTACCGTACCAAATTTTACCAAATTTCACACATATAACAAGCATAGTAAGGAGTCTTAAAATCCACAATCAAATTTGAGAAAAATGTTTCGTTTCCATGGATACGCCGCCATATTGGATTTGATTGACATGTCTTACGTAATGAATACCGCACTTATCCCTCATGGACATTAATTAGTTTTTGGCATGCGTGTTCACAAACATTAGATCTAAAAATTGATCTGTTGTTTTTTTCCTAAACGAATTAGAAAATTTTTAATGAATTTTTTCCTGAGGTAGCATTCAAGTTTGCGAAAAATCCGTGAAAATCCACATTCCAGACACCACCAACAAAAATGTATTCCATATATCAAAAATTCAACACAAAAATTTTTAGTATTATTTCTTCTCTTCATTCTGTGACAATTTCATGAAGATTGGATGAAAAATGGTGGAGTTATTCAAAAAAGTATAGAGAAAAGTCGCGTTTTGAGAAAACAACTGATAAAGAAAAATAAAATACTGACTTTATGAGG